ACAACAACCACAACTGGACGTCAATCCAGACTCAACAGTTCCTGAACAACAACAGCACCAGCAACAGCCACATGAATTGATGGACACATCTGACATGGACACATCGACCATGAACAACATCCCATCATTGTCTACAACACTGGCAACGACAACAGCAACTATTGGTGATTCACAGATGTCATTGATTAAAGAGGAGGAACAACACTCACAGCAACAACAACTCCAGCAACTTCAGCAGCAACACCTTACTCTGATGCAAGTCGATGAGAATGGTGCGATCATTCAAATGGACCCCAACAGTGCTGCTACTATGTTTGCCTCTGGTGACATTGACCCAGCTACTGCAGCTGCTTATGGGCAGACGATTGGTTTGGTGCAGTTAGAAGATGGCAGCATTGTGCAAGCAGTTTATGATGCCAATATGATGAGTTTGCTGCAGCAGCAGCAACTAGAACAACAACAGCAAATAGATCAGCAACACTTGTTGGATCAACAACAACTTTTAGAACAACAACATTTATTGGAACAGCAGCAACAACATTTTTCAGACCTTACGCCTGACCAACAGCAACAACTTCTTGAACAACAACAACAACTGCTGGAGCAGCAACTCTTACTAGAGCAGCAGCAGCAACAACAACAATTACTCTTCAGTCAGCAAACTCAACAGTTACTCGATGAACACCAACAACAACTTCTCTTAGATCAGCAACAACAACTTCTAGCTGGACAACAACTGACAGAAGAGCAGCAACAACAACTTCTAGCTGGACAACAACTGACAGAAGAGCAGCAACAACAACTTTTATTGCAGCAACAACAATTGCTAGTTCAACAGCAGTTGACAGATGAACAAGCTCAGCAGTTGTTACTGAGCCAGCAACAACAACAATTAGCTGATGAGCAGCAGCAAATGCAGCAATTGACAGCCGGTGAAGAAGAAGCAGCCGTAACAGAACAGAAGCAACTCAGCGATCCACGACAGCTCTTAGCTGAATCTCATCAGCAGTTTTTAACTGAGCAACATTTGCTGTCAGCTGAGCAAGAACCATCACAGCAACAATCAGATGAACAACAACACTTACCTGACGAACAACAACAGTTAACTGACGAACAACAACACTTACCTGACGAACAACAACAGTTAACCGACGAACATCAACAACAATCGACTGACGAATGTGGACAAATAAATTATGAACAACAATTAACTGATGAACAGTTTTCAAATGAACAGTCACAAAAACGACAACAACAAACAACCAATGAAGAGCCAATGGACGAAACTTCTTAATATATATTTATATATATATATTATATATTTATATATATTAGTGTGTGTGTGTATATATATATATAATATATATATATATATATGTGCATATGTAATTTATATATTAGATTGTTTCATTTCACTTTTCATATATATATATATATATATATATATATATATATATATATATATATATACACATACAATATATATATATATAATTTAATTATATTTGCGTGCACCTTACATTAAAAAGTGGAATGAGCCGAGCATGAATCGAAATTGTTAGTGGAATGAAAGATTGGCACTGAATATAATTTTATCATCTGACACTGAATAAATGGAATATTAGCCTGTGTGCGTGCGTGCGTGTTTGTGGATAGATTGTGTTTTGTTGATGATGTACGATGTTTATCCTTAATGAATTAATACTGAATAAAGTAATAATAAATGATTTCAACGTTTATGCTTAACGTTTAATTTATTTGATTCTGAATGACATGATAGTTAGTGTTAACTTTTTCAGCGTTACGTTAAAAAAATTTTGAATAAAGGTCGATCGATTCGTTTAATTGCCATTAACTCAGTTGGATCAGTTAGTTGCCTCATGGACATATGTGTGCGGCCTACTACACGTTGCATTCAAATTGCACGTTTCAATGGAGAAATACTAATATGCTTATTTATATACGCAATGTTTCGCCATGTCTACGATTTGAATACTATTGATCACAAAGTATGGCGACCAAACGCATGAATTTATGAACGTAATTGCAACTTGTGCTTCTTTTTCTGAAGAATGTCGTTGCGTGTAATAACAAACTTGATACTTAATATTATCAGCAATTAATTTTCGCTGGAAAGATTATGGAGTGAAACGGTTACTACGTTATGTTTGTGACATCAAATCAAGTCGTAGGCAGATGTGTGTGCACATGTTTTGTTGTTTTAATTTTTTTTCTGGTAACTATGTGCATGCACGTATGTATATATGAATAATTATATTCTATTAAATATTTAACTAAATTATTCATTAACGTAATGTTAACTTGTTATTGTTCGTCAATAATGTTTCTAATGAACAGCAATCGACTGATTTTTAGTTGTCATTATTAAACTATCTAATTTATGATGCCCAAGGCGTTAAACTCATTCTCAGAGAGTTGTCATTCACAAAGTTTTTAAAACGTAACTCCTTTCCATTCAGACATTGAACTATTTCGAACAGTGTTACGCACAATTGTTATGCCCTGGTTTTGAGAGCTGTTAAATAGTTAAATTATTTAAAGAAAGCAACGAAACATATACACCACGTAGCATATTTAGTAATTCGTTAGCCTCTAATGTCTGTAATTACGTGCTTGTGACTAGGTAATAATAATTCTTTGAAGTAAATAACGTCGCTATTTGAAGTTCGATCATTTTGTAATCTGATGAGGCGGCGTGGGAACATGAAAATAGAGAATCATAGATCCATAACATAAATCTGGATGACTCGCACGTGCTGGATGCTAGCAGTAGGTACTAATTTAAAAACTTGAACGAGTGAGCCATTGAGATGTAGTACATATTGCTCGTTTAAATTATCACATTTCAATGATTTGGCTGGCTATTTTTATTTCATCAATTGCACGAATTTTGCAAAAACAATTTTAACGAAAATGTGAATTTAGTGTTTACGTTATTTGAAACACACAAAACAATATAAACATTGCAATGCAATAGACACACATTGCTACATTAAGTCACGAGCTGAACAAATGAAATAGAAGAAAGAAAGAGTTAAAGAAAAATTGAAAAAGAATCAATTCAATTGAGACCAAGAAGTTTGTCAACAGAATTGAACTTCCACTCTTCACTGTTGATGTACGTCAGGTAGTCTGCCAGTCTCTTCATCCTTAGATTGTGCATGTCTGCAAGTTTCAAATTTCTCTACTTTAATTACATCACTCACATATACATAATAATTGAATAATGAGTAATAAATAATTTATTCATCATTTATTATTATTTGATGTAAGATCTATGTATATGTTTTAGGTCTTTTTGATAAGCTTAAAACATGGAAATTGATTGGTCACGTTTGAAATTTTAATCATATGTTAGTTTCAAAAAAGTATAATCAAAATAAATATTGCATGGTGTGGTGAGCAATGGTGAAGATTGTACCTTTGTTTATATTTTCACTGTATTGAGAGCAGTTGTAACTTTTTTTTAACTATTTTGTTAATTCAATAATTTAGTTTTTTAAAAGTTAATTTTTTAAAAGGTCAATTGGTCAAAAACAATTATGTATATATATATATATATATATATATATATATATATATATATATATGTACAGAAATGTAAGTAAAAAAAGATACAAAATAGAAACCTTTTGTTTGTTCATCAAGTGCAGCCCCAACTTCCTGTTGCAAGATCACATTTTTCATTGGAGGTACTATATAAAAATGAGAAAATAAATACAATATAATTTACAAAAATAGATCCATAAATAAAAGGTCTAAATAATGTTCTACGCTTAGAATTATGAAAAATTACCTTCTGAAGAAGTTGAGGCAAATTCATCTCCAGAATAGATGAATTTTTTTCTGGTTGGTTCAGCTTTCACATTGTTTAATGATGTTGAAGCCATGACTAAGGACAAAAAAATCGTGTTTAGTTTTAGTTTTATATTTTATTTAATAAATTTTATTAGATTAGACACGATATTAAATATAGATTAGCATTAGCGTTGATTAGGATTAAAACATTTATCCATCTATCTATCTTAATTAAGTTTAATTATTAATTTCTATTATGATTGCTTCCTAATCTAATCTCTAATCTAATGTTTCTAATAATAATAAAATAATCTCAAATTTTTAAACTAAAATCAGTAAAAAAATTCTAACTTCTCTGTTCTCCCTAATTTTTATATTGTTTATTATAAAATTAAAATTAAATTAAAAAAATATAAATTTTGATAAGACTATTTAACAAGACTAAACTTTAGTAGTTTATATATAATCTATATAATAATATATAGTCTTTTTTATACATATAAAAAAAACTCAATAAATAATAGTTTAGTGTAATTTAGTTTAGTCACTAAACTAAACTACACTAATCACTGATATTTAATATTATCATAATTAATTATAATATATAATTATAATAATTAATCACTTAAAAAAACACTTACTTATTTGATAATCATAATATTATTATGATTATCAAATAAGTAAGTGTTTTTTTAAGTGATTAATTTTAATATTAAAATATTAAATTATTAATAATTAACCTTCTTAACGAAGATGTCAGGTTTTCCCATCACAAGTTTCAACTAAATCGTTTACATTTTTTAAAATAAAAAATAACTTACCAAAAGTGTGTGAGATGTTTCGCCAAATTCAGTCAAATAATAATAATAATCTTTTCAAATCTAAACTAAAACCATTATTTTGTCTACATTTTATATCAAAAGTTAACTTTTTTATTTTTACTAATGAAGTACCAAAAACTAAAAATCGACATTGTAATTTAATTTAATTTACTCTAATGAGTCCAATAAATTGTATAAATGAATAATTGTAAACTCATTTGAACAGCTCCTTTCATATTAATTTGAATCACATTTACATTTCCACTTTTACAATTTTAACTAATTGATAAAGTTTCGTAGTAGATGAGAACCGTATTGAAACAAATTATTATCTATTATTTCCATCCTATAAATATGGTCATCTTTAACCTAGACAGAATTTTTTCATTTTGAATTATATATAAAAAAACTTAATAAATAATTTATAATATTTATAATTCAAAACGTACGATTAAAGTAAGCTACAATTAAAGCAACTTTTAAAGTATACATCGATCGATCATTGATTTTCATTATGTTGTTATATAGAACTTACCAACGTGAATGCACGAACACATGTGCGTACTGAAGGGGTAGTTCGTTTAAAGTTGAATGTAGGTATATCGTACACATGTTGTATTGAAAAACATATATAAGCTAATTGTTTATTTACTTTATTTTGTTGAATTTTAATGTTTTACAAAGTTGCTCTCATAAAATGGACAAGACATGAGTGGGACATTAAATACCAGTACAACGTTCTGGTTCAATAAATCAGTTAAGGAAAATGTTCATCCAGTCAATTCTGTGTTTCTGACTGGTTGGTGAAAATATTTGTCTGTATTAATAATCGTGAGATGATAGAGTATTCATATACATAAATATATAAAGCAGTAACTATAATAACGGTTATTTCTGTTTTTAACATTGTTTCAAACGTATACAGATGGCCGTGATTTAAAAAACAGACCGATAATAATGTTGGAAAACATTCCAAAGCCGAAAGTAGGATTAATAGCGAATTACTCGAATATTGCGTACTGGATACAGGATTACATGGCATACTTGATATCTTTAATTCCGTTTGATAAGTTAAAAAATGGAGTTTCGCTCATAGTTGATGCTACTTACTTCAAGAGTGCAGATGTGGAAATATTGAAGGAACTTTTAAACACTTACAAGGTTTAAAGTTAAATGTTTTTATTTTCATAACTTATCTATCAATAATTTATCTTACGATAGAATCCAGGCAATTGCATGTTGTATGTTTATTGCATCTGCAACTTTCAGTCGAACGGTCCAATCGATCAAAATACTTTCAACGTTATTTCGCCCGGAGTGCAGGTTAGTATTTTGTGAAAGATTTTTTAAATAAATTCTTGTGTTTTTTTTATTTGACTCAATATCGTTTCTTTGCTGATGAGTTCCTTAATTTTAACCTCCGTTAGGAAATGAAAAGCGTCTATTTCATTTATTAATTTATTTTAAATTTGAAAAACCGATTCGATGTTTTTTGTATTTGTCTGAAAATCAGTTTCAAACTTGTTAACAGAGTAATTATTATGATATTGCATTAAAAAACTCTACATAGGTCTTCTTGATATCGTCCATAGCCCAGTTAATGATAAGAGTACCAAGTTCTCAGCTACATACAATCTACGGAGGCACACTTCAGTTCAACCACCCCGCATGGAAACGCTTCATGGAGGTCAGTTTTTAAAATTAATAAAACGTCAATAGTTGTCGTGGTTAATGATAATGTTTATTAGTTAGTTCAATGCAATTTACGACTAATATACCATGTCAACGGTATAGCGTTTGAAAGTATGGGACATAAGTTGCAGTTTTTTAAACATTCATAATATATTAGAATGAGCTTGCCTATAAAATAAACAACATGCTATTTCTCCACATTTCACTTGAATGTTTAACAACATGGTAGTGCCATATTTACGAGCATTTGTTTCACAAGACATTCGAAGCCCTGGAGGCCTACATAACGAAGTATCTGAACAGGAGCATGATGTTCAGAGAGGTGGCAGACGTCATTCTGAAGAGGAAAGTGGCAAGCGAGCTGGCACACATCCACCCGACCCTCAACTATATGAACAATGTCACAGTCCTCCAGCAGTGCGAGAGAGTTTTGAACAAGTTCAGGAATCCGGATAACTTTTATGGATTGAAAGAAATTCAAAATAATCCGGCGTTTGAGTTGGCTAGAAAGAAATTGGAATTTTACATTGCCGTTCTCATGAATAGTCACAATTATTACGTTCATAATATCAAATACATTGAAGATTTCTTTGATATAACCTCCTCGCCAAAAAAAGTATGATTAATTTTTCATGAAAGATTCTTTAAACTTCTTCAACTGCGATGTTTTTCTTTGTTTTCAGAAAAGAAAACCAACAAACGAAAACACATCTCTAATTCAAGAAAATATCAACGATGAAGTTAAAAATTTGTTCACCTTGTCAAATTTAAAGATAGTGCTGAGTGAAAAAAGTGAAAATATTAAATTTGCGAACGAGCCAGCGCTAACCCGTGACACTACGAAATCTTACACAGGAGATGGTCTTCACGCCGCAGAACCGAGCAATATCAAAGAAATAGCATTACCAAGTCTTTTGCAACATGTCCTGAGCGCTCCAAACAGTGATTACAAAAACCCTAAAGAGGACGAAACCCCTAAACTCGCTCAACAACTCACAAAGCTCCTTCTCTCCAGCCAATCGAAGCTAAAAAATGAGCACATAGAGCTGAACGTAAAGAAAGATGATGATGAAGATGAATTATTTGCAAAACCCAAACCGCTACCGAGACGATTCATCTGTCTATCTGTTGAAAGGGAGACACAGACCTTGGATGATGAGCGACGGAGATCGGTCATCATTCAAACTGACCTACAAACAAATCCACAAACTGAGCTACAAACAAAGCCTCGAAATGATCTACAAACAAAGCCACAAACTGACCCACAAACAAATCCACGAACTGACCTACAAACAAATCCACGAACTGACCTACAAACAAATTCACAAACTGACCGTCAAACAAATCTACCAGCAATTTTGACTGAAAATTCAACGGGCGTATCATCTGATATTAAACTAACGCCTCAATTTTATTCGGATCTTAAAAAGGTTAATTTCAAAATATACTTTATATAACGTGTATTTTTTATCAAGGTATAAGTTTTGAATTTTGTTGAATTAAAAACTAATTGAAACTGAAATTAATGTTATAAACAGGTACAAAACTGGTATTTGAGAGGATTGGCTATGTTTGACGAGAAGTTCATAGCAGACATCAACAACGCCACTCCTGAACAGATGACCAACGACATCCATCAAACAAAATGCGGCGACTTCCTACTGGACAACAAATTAGACGAAGCATCAATCAAGAACATTCAAAATAGCGATGGCAGTGATGCCAGCGACGAACGCCTTAAGATGGATCTCCCAATATTAATCTACCGGAAAGTTTATTTTATAACATATAATTATTATTTATAAAATAAACAAATAATCGAATTTTTTTTTTAAATTCAGAGTGAGCTGTTTGAGGAAAATTTTGACGAATATCAAACATTTGAAGTTAATTGAACTGAAAGAAGTGACGATGTGGAAGGAACAGTATCGTTGGACGACGTCCAAAAAACTGACACCACGAGAGGACAATCAAAAAGTGTCAGAAACTTCTGAAAAAATTCCATTCAATTCAAACAACCCCATAAACTCTGAGAATATAATCCCATCAAAATACAAAAACATTGATATTACGCATCATGATATTCGACAGAATGAAAACGTTGAGGAATATATAGTGGAAGAAAGTGAACAGAATGACGAGTTGAACTTCAAAAAAATTATTAAAGACGTTGAAGATTTTCTTAAAAAACAAACAAAAGTGGAATCCAAAAAATCTATTGACGAGTCAAACAGCAAAAATAAAGAAATGCGAAATCATTTGAATCTTCAAAACGTTTTTGTTGACGACTTGCCGTTTGGTTTTGAAAGATCCAAATTACCCGTTTATAACAATTTCAAATCACCCGAGAATAGCGAAATTTTTTACAACGACAAACCTAACACTGAACTTTTTGACCTGAACAGACCACAGAAGGTTGACAATGTTAACTTTTTTGATTCCGGAATAAATTCTCCTATCAAATCAAGTGAATTGAACTCAGAAAAAGATCCCTTGGATAGCACAACCAACAATTCATCACGCCACCGATGTTAATACAAAATTTATTGAACTCCATTTTTTAAGAAATAGATAAAATATTTAAAATTGCGTGATTTATTCAATTCACAGCTTTTTCTACTGAAGGCTTCACGGGTCTTTTTGAGAATGACCATGACAGAGATGCAAGGTTGAAAAATCTGGAAAGGTTGAGTAGAAATTATGAATGATTTTTCTTAACGTGTTTACAACTTTTTTAAATTTTCACTTTAGATTATTAAATGACTACGACTCTCAAAAAATGTTCAAGCCCGTAAAAATGAAGCCCGACCCATGGGATGAAATTATTTTAAGACCTCCGGAGATGTTTGGTCCCATGGATTTTGACGTGAGTCACTTGATAGGGAGAACTTTTTGCTTTCGTTTCGTTTATTCAGTTTAAAAAATTTGTTCTTTTCAATATTTGTGAACTGAATTTTAATGAAAGTAAATTTCACAAACAGCCGGAGAGATTCAACCTTTTGCCGATGTTTCCTCCAACGTACGCAGATGTCACGTCCTCATCATCGGTCCCAAGCCATTTTGCTCGGCGGAGCAACACGAGCCATGAAAGTGGCGTTTGGACTGTGGACAGTTTTGATTCGAAGACGAAATACTGAAAATAAATTATATTTCAATTATACTAACTTGATATAATGATCATTTGTGTGAGAGTGTTTTGTATGAAAGCACAGTATGTATGTTCGTATAATTTATTTATTCAATTTAGTTTTCAGATTCATTTTTATATGATATTCAGCTTTTTTTCTGAACTTTTTCAACATTAGCAGGTAGAGTTAACAGTAATGCAAATAAGCTTTTTAATTTCATTTTTAACAAAAACTATACTAGTCACTTCTTTACGTAATGTCGGTGCTTTTTTATCGTCACAGAAATTCCCATATAGTACGTTGGTATTTTATTATTGTTAAAAATTACAAAAAAAAACCATTACCATTGTTAAATGTTCTAAATATTGTTCAATCAACTTACAATATAGTATGAGTCATCAAAATGATTTTGTTGTTTTGAAAGCTTTGCTGTAAACGTTTAATGCAATTGTAAATGTTGTAAGCACAATCGATAAGTTGTGTGACTAAGAAATTGAGTTGAAAAACATTCTTGCTGAATGAGTCGCACAATGCACAAGCTCAGCAACATTTAACAAAAAGTTGAACGTAGATCACAAATCACCGATGTCCTATGTTGGTTTCTTTCGTACTTTTTACTGCTCTCAAAATCGATGTACAATTGTTTTTATTAATACTTATAGTTTTTCATCATTGCTTTTTTAACGGCTCGTTTTTCGTTGACATGTTTGTTCTTTATTGTTGAAAAAACAGTAAATTTAGACTTTTTAGAATTTTTATTAAAATAAGTTTTACTGACAATAAGTTCCATCTATAAATGAACAAAAAATAATTGATCTATTAATGTTAGAATGAAGAGATTTAATGTTCGTACAATTAACAAAAGCAGCAGAAGAGCAAGCAAACTATCGTTGAAAATGGCCGACTCTGAAAAGAGCATTTTGCTATGGTGGTTTAATCAACTTGAAGCTTGATTAGATTGATCCAATCAGCTTTTTTAGTAGAAGTGAAACCGCTTCCAGCTGCTTTGACGGTTATCCTGGACAAGAGGACGGCTTGAATATTTGGTAAAAAGGCCACCTTAGGCCATGGTGACTCCGACCAACAGCTTGTTCAACTCCATGTCGTTTCAAACGACCAGCTGACTGAAAATGACGGGGTCACTACGGGTCTTTTTATTGTCCCTGGCAGCATTTCCGGCCAACTCTAGAACTTTAGCTGCCAAATACTTCACGACTGCTACCAGGTAGGCAGACGCGCTGGCTGCTACTTTTTCAACGTAGTTGCCCTTGCGTAACATTCTGTGGATTCTCCCCACCGGCAACTGCGACCCCGCTCTGCTTGACCTGCTTTTGCTCTTTCCCTTGACTTTTCATCCCTTAATTCTTCCGGACATTTATAAGAAATAAAATAAGCGAACAAATAAACTCTCAAATCGATTTGATAATAACCTAAACACGAAACGTTAGGCTTATACTATAGGCTTTTTAACGACTTGGTGGATGACATGATGTCACAACGGATTTCGTTAACATTTATATTACAATCGTTCTTTTGGTAATTAGTATCTACCACTATTAATCATACAATATCTACATAGTATCTACATAGTATCTACCACTATTAACTGCAAATTCATTTATTAAAAGGACTAAAAATATCTAGACAAGAAAAACTTGCTAAACATCTTAGTGTTTGATATTTGCTGACTGACATTTGACAATAACATAATTTAAAAAGGCCTTATATTTTCGGTTCATTATTGTTTAAGTTTTTGTCGGTCGGTTGTTTAAGCTATAAACATTTATTCCATATATAAAAATCAGTGTAAATAAATATTAACATAAAAACGTTTTCAATATTTTCATCTGAAACATTTTTAACAAACAATCAAAAATAACGGATTTCTTAAAATAAGCAGTGAAGAAATATTCCTTCATTCATTAATTTGACATTAAATCATGGCCATACAGTACCTTTTTAACCATTAACATTGCCCTTGTCATTATTCTTCATCTATAATTGTTTTCTACCAAAACAAGCACACGATCATTAAAGGAACAATTATAAATGTTTGAGTTAAAAATTGTAGGCACGCAAAACTCTAGACAACGGCCATTCATAGAACATCTTCGAAAACAAACTGCCAATTATATTACATCCTTGTTATTATGGGCGCTTTTGTCCTCATAAAACTTTGATATTTTTTTATTTTATTATAGATATATTATTATCATGATAATTATTATCGTTATTATTATAATTTATAATATTATTATTGTTATTATTATTAATTATGTTATTATTATTAAAATTACAATTTACATGCACGATTGCAACTCTCCTTCGTTGTTGCAATCGATTGTGATGATGAAAATATGACGAGTATGAAGTAATAATGTGAAAAATAACAAAGATGATGATGGCGATTGTAGATGTAGACAAATACAAAATAGTTTGGATGAATGAAGAATGATAAATGAATGAAGAATGAATAAAGAATGAGTGAACAATGAAGATTCCTGCCTAGCAACCAGCCTTCTCTTCCTTCATTTGACGAATGCACATTTTATATTTGAGCACTGCAAACAAAGCATATCATTGCTTATTTTGATCATTTGAAACATTTGAACTAACTCATAAAGAGTTAAATCAATAAATAAATCAATAATAATTAAAACAATAAATCGTACGTTTTTATAAAATTTTCTAAACATTCTGTTATAAAAATGCAGAATATATTGGTAACATTTTTGATGACATCAATAATCATCATAACTCTAGATAAACAAAAATTGAAAGCAGTATCAACATTATCGTCATTGCCTTCAACATTCCAGTACCAAATTTCATCAAGCAAAACTCTACCTGAAACAAGTTACCTTGAGGGCATTCTTCTAACAGACCTGAATGTTGAAATGAGCAAAATAATTTACAATATATTCTCGGTTAACGTTGCGGTAACTGCGAATGCACGCATTCCGGAGACGGTCAAGTGCCTGTACATCTGTCGGTTAAGAGCAAATTGCGTGAAAGCTTACATCAGAAAAACTGGGACTCACTGTCACCTGCTCATGAATTCAATTGGGAATTCGTACACTTTGATACAGGATCAGAAGGAATATTTTCAGGTTGATAGAATATTAATTTCAATTTTCATATTGTTTAAATTAGAAACATAAAGTAATTTTGAAAGTTTTCATAATTTTCTATTTCGTAAATGATAGTGAAAAAAAGCAATTTAGTTTCATAGTGGCATAGTTAAGAGTGCGTGGAGCCCAGGTTCGAAATCCGGAGTGAGACCAGCTCCTGGTGTAAAGTTATTTAACTAGTGAAGCTAATTGGAAAAATTAAATTCCACGATATGAGCACCGCAGTTGTTAATTTAACAAATTTTTTGAATTAACAATTTCTGAAGCATTTAGCCTGCTGATAAAGCTGAAACTAAACTATTTTTTACTTAGTTTTTTTTTACTATGAACCGTTATAGTCAAAAAGTATTTTAAGAAAGTTCATCTGTAAATAATCCTAGAGTTATTTACATTAAATAAATCAAATAACTTTTCCAGACAAAAATAATTTCGATAAATAGCGAAAAACATTTTACTAGTTCTAAAATTTACATTTTAAAAAACGTTGATAGCTCAATTCTCACGATCTGAGGAACTCGGAAGACTTTGTTTGGATGAACCTGTGGCATCTCTTTGCCATTGCATTGCTTTTATAATTAGTAATTGATGCAATGATTATTATTCATACATAAATTAATATTGATTTCAGAAAGTTTAACACAGCACCACCCCACTAATGAAGAAGATAGCGGTTGAAACATCATCAACATTTTTTCAACTATTTGATTGCACAAGATGTGAAATGATATATTATTAAAAATCAAACTTTAAATAAATAAAAGGAAGCGTAAAAACCTTAAAAATTTCATAAAGTTAGTATGTAATTTATGACAAAATTATCTGCCAATTTAATGGTATGCCTTTTAAACAGTAATTTTATATCATGAAACATGGCAAAGTTTTTGTCACCAATGTAGTTGTATCAGTCGGAGCTTAGAGAGAGAGAGAGAGAGAGAGAGAGAGAGAGAGGAGAGAGAGAAAGGGGGGAGAGAGGGGGGGGGAGAGAGAAGAAAGAGTTGTTGTCATCTAGTATATTCTACAAATTATATGCTTTTAGTTTTTGTATTACAATTCGTAAACTTTTCAAAGCCTTTTTTTTATTTTCAGCATTTGACCTTCTTGGAATTTTAAATGAATAAATAATTTTAATAAAATAAATGTTATTGTTTGTCAATTGAGTAATGCAACTATCAGGAATAAGATATACCCTATATTTGCACTGGTGTATTATTGTCTATGGTGGCGGTAGATGGTGGGGTCATGGTGGATTCATGGTGGTTTACGGTGCAGAATGCTGTTAATTTGTTGAATTAATATAAAATACATGACCGTAGTTTAGAAACCGAATAAAAAAATGAGTGAAAATCACACGATTTTAAGATGTGAACTATCAGAGCTAGCAATTACAGCTATAGCTATAGCTACAGCTATATCTACAGCTACAACACAGCGCAATAAAATAGGCGTCATTCCAAGGTCAAGGCTTGAAAATTTTAGTTAGAATGTAAAAAAATCATGTAAAAACTCCATCAAAATTTATTATTAATCAATTTAAAGGTTACCGTCACTGACTATGTTATTATATCGGTATTGAATTAAATAAGCTGTAAATTGGAAAAAATTATTAATAAAGTAACATGTGCGAGTGTTACTGCATGTATGTGTGTGTGTGGTGTGTTTGGTGTTTGTGTGGATTGTGTGGTGTTTGTGTGTGTGTGTGTAGTATATGTGTGTGTGGTGTGTGGTGCGTTTGTGTGTGTGTGTGCGAGTGCTTGTTTTTTTTACCAAAAGAAAAAGTTTATAAAAAAATTTTACGAAAAAAGTTTCCAAAAATATGAAAAAAATGCATTTTTCATGTATATTTCAACTAAAAAAATTAATGTTCACAAAAACTGTTAACAATTGGTAAAAAGTATTCATCCTCATTTGGTTAATTCATTCTTACAAGTTCATCTTCACCATTAGGCCACCATCCGTATTATACCGTATTTATATCATTAAAATTGACTTAATTAAGTTACATTCATATTGAGAGCGAGCTAGACGTCATATAAAAGGTTTTTTGAAAACGCAGCGGAGTGTTGGAATACAAGGTGTTGATTGGACACTGATCATCAGCAGACCTAAGTCTGCTTCATCCAAAACTCACATCAATCACTAGCTGATTCATTGTTATATTAATGCTACAGGTAGTCAGTCATTATGGTCAAAGTCGGTTGACAAAATAAACATTAGCGCTTTAATTAACAAGCCAACATGGCATCTTTTTGAAATGTCATCTTCTTCAGTTATCGACTTAACACGTTTTTATTAACGTTATTTCATTACTTTACATCTCAGTAATTTGAAGAGGCAAACGACGAGAACTCATTCAAAGTACGCAAATATCATTGCTATTATCATTAGAGAGTAATAGTATAGACACCTTAACGAGCCATGCAACTCTTGAGTATAACAGGCCAGTCTCTCCTTCAACTCCATCCCACCCGCGGTCACTGTACAGAAAACAGACGTCTAAAAATTACCCTGTCTAGCCGTCTTAAAATTATTTGCTTCTTAAAACTAGTTAGCCTGCTAATCACTAATCATTTCTAAAAAAAAATCTAAATAGTTTATGAAGATAATAATTAAACCCGAGAACAACTTTCTGTTGAAAGTGTCGAATTAGATTTGCTAGCGCCATCACCTTTAAACAAATAACAATTTGTGTCGACATTGCTTCGAAGGCATTCGTTCGTGAGATGGCAGATGTAGAAGCATTTGACGACTTCAGGAATGCAAGCGGTTCGGAATCTGGCAACATTCACTGATGTTTTGTTGGAAATTATGCTGTCCATGATGACGATGGAAATGTTATCTAGGACGGACGTTGGGTTATAATTGTTGCTGGGTTGAAGTGGTGCTGAAATAGATACTGGAGTTGATGGTGTTAAAGGTGGTGGTGATGGTGATGTGATCAAAAATGGTTGTTGAAGAAAAGATGATGTTGATAATGATGGTCCTAATTCTAATGATGATAGTGATGATGACGATGATTATGTAATTATCTCCAATGTTGATGAAAATGTTGTTATCATTTCAAACGATGGTGACAATGTTAGTGATAATGATATTGATTCAAGCGATGCTGGTGACGATGATGATGTTAATTCAGATGATGTTGGTGATGATGATGTTGACGATAACATTAGCTTCGGTAGTTCTGACGATGCGGACAATAAATTTAACAAATCATCAACTGCACTGGACGAAGGTGATGGTGAGAATGATGATGATTCAAATGATGATGGTGGAAACGATGAAGGCATAGTTGACAATGACGTAGATGTCAGTGAAGACGATTGAGATGATGATAGCTCGGCTGATAATGTTGTCGTCGATGTAAATTTTATAATAACTTCCAAAGACGTTGTTGATGATGAACGTAATGACGATGATAATAATGATGGTGGTCCATTATCTGAGTCTGGTAAAATTGCACTACGAATGAGAGTTAAGAAGGATAGGAAAAACAAAATGAACTTGCACAGATCGCTTGTGAACAACATGCCAGCTGGCGAAACCAATTAGATTTATTAATCAAACGTTTTCAACTTTGATGGCCCTTATATTTCAATTTGTTTCAATTTCATTTTATAATTGTTTAACTAATTTACTTTATTTATACTTGTTTAGTTTAAGTTCATTCAATTTCAAGTGTTTTTTTTTTATAAATATGCTTTCGTAAAATGGTTGGTGAAATTTTAAATTGATAATTTCTAAAACTGGATAGAGTGCAGAATCATTAATTTATATGAAGCAAAATCATGGAAACCAAATTCGTTTGTTAAATTCACTTTTTAAAATTTTTACAAAACGCGTGGCACTTTTGGCGTGAAGTTTACACTTTTTTGCAGTGTTTTTTGTAACATAGTCTGCCCTTTTTTATTCATTATAACGCAACTCTGCTAAACGCAGTGCAGCTTATATTGTGTCGTAGATATGGTAATTGTCGTAACTATCGTACAGTTTGAAATTATTTTAAATACCCTAATTGCCGTAATTATTGTAAATGTCGTAATTAACGTAATGATTGTAACTTTTGTGATTGCGGCCAAAATTCACTGACGTTATTAGACACGACATGTATAATTCTGAAAGTTGCCAAAAATGCCAGACTGTAATTTATTTTGTGGTGATCATTATTTATGTTGTAACTATTATGCCAACTGAATAAATAAGTGTAAATGATTGATTAATGATGATGAAAATGACTAAACCGTTGAGTAAAAAATGTTTCAACATAGGAAGTTTAGGTTTAGTCAGTGCGGCTATCACATCAACAATCATCAACAATCTTTCTACTCATCATCGTCAATCATCTTTTAATCATCATTCATTCATCATCATAAAATCACGGTTATTTATATTATATTTACAGCATAATTAGTAGTAGAGATAGCAATGATAGTATCAGTATGCATAGTTCTAATGGTCATTTATAATGAATATTTATCACTGCATTAGCAGGAACAGGCGTCTTAGCTGATACACTAAAACGCTGCTCAAAATTGGTATTCCCAAACCAAATGTTTAGGAATTTAGTCCAGGCTTGGACTGAAGCCTATGACGTGAACCTCACATAATTGGTTGCTATCTGATCGCCATGCTGGATGTTGACATATTTGCTTGTTGTCGCTGTAGAAGCTGCTGCTGCTGCTGTTATCGGGAATGTCTGTCTCACGTTGTCTGTGCAGTTCACTCTAAGCCTGTTATCAGATGGGAGATGGGGTTAGGATGAAAAGACTGAAAATGATGAAAAATTGTTCGTTGGTGAATTTTAGTTCAGTGATAACAACTAGAAGTCTGAGAATTAGTATGACGGTCACAAAGGTATGCATGTATATACGATGATGACAAAATTGTATGTGATTAAGATGATACGCTACTAAACTGATGATGACAGAGCGAGAGTGATGATCATGTAAAGGCGTGCGGTGCCAAATTATATTCAGATGATCGGGGAAATGTGCATGATAGTAAAACTGTACGTGATTGTAAAAACACAGAACACAATTGAAAAAAAATTCAAAACACAGGAAAATAAATTATAGAGCTATTATAATTTTACATGCAGTTCTGCATTTTAACGATTTACTTGCAAGTGACGACAAACATAACCGTGATTAAAATGTCAACAAAAACTGAAATTGACGTGTTAAATGCTTGGCGTTTTGAAACAGGCGACAACGCATCTTTTCTTTCTACTTTGTAATTAGAATTTATGTGAATATTTCTTAGATGACTTGAACGCTAAAAAATAGTAACTTCACCACAGAGTTATAATTACGGTTACATTGAAGCGTAATAATCTTGATAATTATGACGGTCATGAGGAAATTTAAGATTTACAATGGGTAGCTCTCTCTTTCTCCTCTTTCTCTCTTTTCTTTCTGATATGCAATGTCTAAATCTTTTATATCTTTCTTTTTCTCTCTTTCTTCTTTCTCTTTCTCTCTCTGTTTAAACAACACCGCCACTATTGCTAAAATTGAATCAAATAAACATGCTACTATCTGAGAAATTTAAGAATTAGCAGCATTAAAAAACAAACTTAAATGAAGTGAACTAAAAATATACCAACCAGACACCTCCGGTTTTAAGAGCATCATTGAAAGTACCGCAGAGAGTGTAATTCTTTCTGACTGATTTACAGATAAAATAAGAGCAAATTATTGATTGAAGCTATTTTAGATCTTCTTATTTCAAATTAGGCAATAATTTTCAATTTAGTTTTGAAGGGAAATCATTAGACAGAACAAAATCATACAATGACTATCATTTCTTGCCAGGACTTCAACACAGACAACAACATAAACATCTCTGAGATCCGCCATCCACCAAGCTGTCATCTTTGGGGGAGACTCGAACCCGGTGTGACTACACTGACCGCTCACCGCATCTGCTCCCAACGCACCATTTTGTTTCTAGCTCAGTGGTGCGGTTGTAGAAAAAAACCAAAATAACCGAACAGCAAAAAACTGTTATGACTTTAACGTTTTTGACTTTATTTTCAAGTTCACGTTGTTAAAGTTTATTTTCTAATAAGATTAAAGTTTAAAAAAGATAAAATTTTATTCAAAGATAACATCCAATTAAATTTTGTTGTGAATACGTTATGTCTCTTCGTGCAAACTCTCGCTCGATGAAACCAAGGTAAACACAGTAAGAAATGATATGCAAAAATATCATAGTTTGAAGTGAGTGGGGACATTTTGATTATGATGTTAACAACACCAACAACAAAACAAACGACGAATTACATGATAAACAATTTTTCCAACAAATTTATTTTCCAACGGATAGGCAGGCCGAGAACTTTGTTTGTTTAAAATTTGTATTGTATGCGTCAAGTGGTGTAAGACAATGCTGCTGGAAAAATTTTATCTGGGTATAAAAGGAAGAAAAGTGTTGTTGATATTTTGTATTTCTCCGTTGAATGAACGTTAAATTCTATGCATATTTTTGACTCAAAGAAATGAAGAAAGCTTATGCAAACAATGGCGGGTTCAAAAGGGTCCAGAGGGGTCCAGAGGGGGATGGGGAGAAATAGAAAAATATATTCTCCTTCACGTGTTATAAAGTTAAAATAAATTTATGTCACTGAAAACAGTGTAAATAAAATTATTACTGTTGAATATTTTAAAATAAACTCAAAAATCTGTGAAATCTTCTTTAAGGTTTTCAAAATATTTTCCTAAAAATTGTAAGTTCATTCTACTACCGATAATTCAGTTTGTCACTCTGTGCAAACACTGTTAGCTACTTTACCAAACCAACTCAGTTTCACGTTGATTTTACTAATTAGCCCTATCATGAAACGGCGAACATCGTGAGAGGTAGGTTAACCTTTTAGCTATGCATTTTATTTTATCCCATTACTTTTACTTTGATTTCATTAATTACCTATTCTATGGAAGAAATAAAAGTGCTTCCATTATTTGCATTTTGAACATTCAAAACTCTTCTAATTCAAATTGCGGGGCTGTCTGATTTTTTCCAACGTACACTAATGAGAGTTTACTATATAGGATGCATTGAGAATTTTTTCGATTTCATGATATTTCATTTTGCTTCATTGTCCGCATTACAGACTTATTATCTAAAGATAACGACAATAAGTACATAAAGAACAATGTTTTTTGCTTTTAAAATTTTTCATCCCAATTGTTAGAAACATTAACTTGAAAAAAATTACCGCGCAGAAAAATATCAAAATAGAATGAAACTTTTGATAATCGTACCATCACTAATCGTTAGCGCGCTTAAAATTCGTTCGATTGTCTAAAATATTTGCAATATCACAACGAAAAATGTTTTTACAAATAATATTATTTTGATATTCTAAGTTTAAAAATTTTTGTTTCGAACAGAAAGAGGTGATGACAATGTTTCAACATTAAAAGCCTTTTTGCCCGAATTATTAGAGGTGAGCGTGGGGACGTGGATTGGTAAAACCTAGTTTTCTGGCATGGAAATTTTAGGGGTTCAAAAATTTTAAGCGATTTGGGAAACATTAGAAAAATTGAATTTGATCAAAATGTCAGTTATCTATGCAACTCTAAACATATATACGCATGTGGTCGAGACATCTCATAGGCACACACATGTGACTTAACAAAGATAACCACGTGCAAGCTACAGAGCGATAAAGAAATTTCATACAAAATATATACACTCAAGCACGTGGTTAGCACGTGCGCAAACTCGTGGTCATTCAGTAATTCACATGGAATAAACATGTATAAACTTGTTTTTAATAGTTATAATTGTAATTTGATATTGTTGGTTGGAGTTTTAGATTTTTTTAATTTTTATTTTGTTAGGTACTAAAACATACTTACAACTCACGTGCTAAAGTTGAAACCACGTGTTAGAGTTGAATAAAACTCCGTTCATATAACAGTGGAAATAAAAATTCAAATTATAAACCACCTCTTGTTTCAATAATATTTGCTCCAGTTAATAATATATTGGTAAAATTAAAATAGACGGTATGCATATTTAAAAGTAATTTTATTTTTGACAAAATGATTTAAATATGTACAAGTGTAGAATACTATGTTCAACTGTTTGTTCTCAATAAATAAACGAATAATAGAAAAAAAATATAACAAATTTTGATTTCATTGTCTATACAAAGTTACGTTAACAATGACGAAATAATTTTTCTCCTCTGAGTTTGGCCTCAGTTTGAATCTGTAATCAAATTCTAACGGATCGAAAATTTCGAATCGGCAGTATGGGCACGTGACGCGGACGAAGAACCATTCGAGCATGCATTCAACGTGGTGCAGGTGTCCACACTTCACTTTCGTCAGGAGTTCACTTTCTCTGAAGTCCTCCAGACAAATGGGACAGGACTCGTTTCCAGGACTGTTGGCCGGTGAATACGGCACTATTAGAATTGTGTCCTCGGGTATAAGGAGGCTTTCGTCCAATATTTTTATTATTCCGAAGACAGGAAATTTACGTCTCTAAAAATGTTAATCATTGTTGCTAGCTATCAAAGCCGTTTGAAAGGCTACTATTAAAATTAATAGTATTTGAAAATTATAAGTGTATTTGATGATATTTTACAAGAGCATTTAAAAAATTACCAGCTTAAATGTATCTGGACGATCGTCGTATCTCTGATATGTTCCTATCTGGAAGTTCACCTGCTCCTGTAGCAACTCGATGAAACGTTTTCGTTTTTTCAGCATTAGAAAATCTTCCTAGAAATTAAATTACAATAAAAATATTTACAGAACAATTTCACAAGTTTTATTTAGCGGTACAAAATTATCCTATGGCTAAAAATAAACTCCAATTAATTATGTGTTTAAAAAAAGACAATCAATTCTTGAAACACAAACGTTAGGCAACTAATCTTCATACCAAATTATCCTCCAAGTAGTCGCTAACTCTCTCTCGAACCCTGCGCATATCTCTCCTGAACTTTTTTTGCAAACTGTTCCCCATCTCAACGGGGTAATTATATCCAGTCAAGTTGAAATCCAAGCGAGTAACTAAAAAACGATATTAATCGTTAATTCGAAAGTTGTTAAACTGCCATCACTTTAAAATTACATATCGGGCGGTGCTGACAAAGAACAAATATTAAACTTTCTCGATCTTGTATTTTTAGTTCTTTGTTAGAACATATAAAATTTTTTACTACCAATAAACTTTCCTAATAACATTTTTTAATAAGTTGAAAATGTCAATTTTTTGTTCGTTCAGACTATTTCGAAGTAAAATAAAACACCTAACACTATATTGCATCATCGCAAGACTTAATGGCTATTTATTCCATCCGAGTTGTAGGTATTAGATGTTGATTAAAATTGGCACGAAACTTGAAAAGAGAGTGCATAGAAACTTAGGTAAAGCAGTAAAATGCCGTCAACATCAATCATCACCGAAAAAGTTGTAACAAATTTTGTCTGATATGTCGTCCAATTGCCTGAATTATAAGTTCCATGCCGTGTCGTTCCACTGATGAACGATTGCCTGCTTGGTTTATTTTTACGATTCTGATGTTGTATCAGTCGAAATTTCAAATTTCTTTTGCATTTTAACATCAGTGGTTTTTTAAATTGTTTATTTTCAAATCTCCATTGGCATCCGGTTTATCAAAGAGTTATTTTCAAGATGTATAACGGCTATTAAATGCATTAAGGAAGTTGCCCCTAAATATTTAACCGACAGAGCCATTCCTAAAACAATGCCACTGCTGAGTCAAACATTGCGCTCTGACAATTCAGGTTTACCGTTTGTACCTGACACAAGCTTGGCTCTTGGTTGAAAAAATTTCTCCGTAATGGGTCCTGCTGTCTGGAATGGTTTGCCTAGTGACCTTCGTGATCTTTCGTTGTCTCTTATTCGTTTCATAAAAGGTTGAAACACCATCTTTTTGTCATAGCAATTGTTGCAGACGGACTTCCATGAAAAAGACGAAATAGAATAGGCATTTTTTTTGTAAAGAATAAATATGGTGAACTCGACGTGATTTATCGAGAAAAAAAATGTTTCTATGTATGCTAAAAATGTAGTTTAGTTGTATGCTCGTTATTGATGTTTCCTATGCGTTGACGATGTATATCTAACATACTCTATTGTGACTTCAGAAATTCAGGAAGTTTGCTCGATAAAAATGATTGAATAAATTTGATAGTTTATTTAACATCATTAACTTGAATCATCAAACCAAGTTATTAAATACGTTTCCCACAATCATAAATTATTCGTTAGAAACTTTAAAAGAAAAGACGAAGTAATGAACAAATTAAACATGAATGAAAATTTATTTATTGCAAAACATTGTAATTGAACTTGTCCTAAATTGGGTGCATATAATCATTATGACATTAATGATCAGTTGGTTATTTCAAAAAAAGTTATCATCAAGGTTTCATATCACAAATCTTGTAGCTAATCAATTTAAATTAATGTTGTTAACTTTATTGAATATTTGTAAAAAAATTTAGGATTGGAAATGTTTACGTCAAATATATTTATTTTCAGGCATTCAGTTTCTGAAAAAAATAAAAAATCTAATTATTTAATTTTAATTTCAAGTTAATTTAAACAGTGCCAAATTTGTAAAAAATATTTAAAAAAACTCATGCCGGTTTGAAAACTGTTAGGTTGCCCTTTGTTAAATGAATAGAAAACAAAAGTTGTACACACCTGGAAATATTCTTTCCGATCAGCGCTAGAAATTTGTAAGCTTCCTAAGCCATTACTCATCAAGTAGCATGAACTAGCCATCCGACTTACCAAAGTTTTGACGCAGTTTGTCGTCAGATGGCAGATATAGACACACTTTACTGAAATCGGAATACATCCGGTTTGAGATAGACTCATGTTCACTGACGTTTTGTTGTAAATTATGCTATTTGTGTTTTTAAATGGGTGTGTACTTATTAATTTTATGTTAGGTATCGCGCTAGTTGGTGCCATTTTCAGGGTGAATGTTGATGGAGATGAACTTGGCAACACATAAACAAACTCCAGGTTGTTTATAAATGTTAGCAAAATGATTATAAAATTAAAAGAATTAACCTGCATTACGCTTAGAATAAAAACAGCCGTTTAACTTTAAGATTAAGGCTGTTGAAACTCATAATGTAAGTAAATTTTATGTTTTGATTGTCAGTTGATCAAACAGTGAGTGTGACGGAAAATTTTTGTGGCAATGCCTGTGTAAACGACAGAATGTTGACGGAGATAAACTTGGCAACACAAACAAACTCCTGGTTGTTTATATATATATATATATATATATATATATATATATATATATATATATATATATGAAGATTAATACTAAAATAATTTTCTATGTGCCATACACAACATACACACACACACACATGCAAACGTGTGTGTTGTGTATCATTTATAGCATGTTTGCTGACAATGTTGCAGTGTTTTATGAAAAATTTTTGACTTTGACTTCACAGTCTTCTTTTGTTTGTAACCTCATAACATGTTCACTGACAAGGTTATATATAAAATTTCTGCGTTGGACGTTTTTAATTGAATGTTCATTCATCTAAATAAAATTTCTCCAGCTATTTTTTTTTCAAACAAAGGTGACAAACAAAAATTTGGTGCACCTGGCGGGAACTTTTCATACAACGTGATGTTTGACTAAAATTTTTTATCGAATTTTCATTCCTTCATTGGAAAAGTAATGACGACAAATGCACGTTCTAACTAGTTTAATTTTTCCAATATGAAATGGCATGTCGGATTAGTGCACTCACAACGCACATATTTAAAATAATTCTATTCATTCAATTCTGTATCTTTCCCTGTCATGTTCTGTGAGATGATGAAAAAACAAACATGTAAGGAGTGTGTTTGTAATGATTTTTTATTTCATATATTCAACTCTCACATATTTGAAGATGATTAAGTACAAAAATGGAGACTTTTTAAAATTATTTCTGTTAAAATAGATGGTATAAACATATATCTCACAAAGAAAAAATAAATTATTATTAAATTCAAAAAAGTAACAAATTATGAATTAAACAAGAATATTTCACATTCTATTTTAACAGCGGCAATTTATAGACAAAATGCACCTTTGGAACAAAAATTTTTAATTTGTTCTCGACTATCAGCATTTTGTTTAATTTGTTATTTAGGAAAAAATTATACTTTGGCAATGATTAACAAACCCTCTGCAACTGCAGAAACATTGTAAAGTATTTTTGATCTGTGGAAACGTGAACATGATCCATTGCAGGCCACGTAGTTTAAACTTCTCACTTGATAGTGAGACATCTATAGTGAATTTTAAAAACTAGAATAGAAATCACACTCACGATTTGTTGATATTACCGAAAAATTGTCAAAAAATGTTTTACCGTCGTACTTAAAGTTTATTTTTAAAAACATCAACTTCATTAGGTCGTCTCTTTATTACATACCACTTTAAGTTAGTATTTTTTTACATCAACAAATAAAAAAAAAAAATTTTTGTTTGTTTAGAAAGTTGCAGGACAAAATTTTTATTTCATTTTGAATTTTTTTAAAGAAAAATTATATATTACACACCTAACAAGTACAACTAAAAATAATTTGACAGCGAATACTCCTCACCAAGCCGTTGAGAGCGCAATCGGCAGCACACGAGGTCGGCTCTGCATTGATTTTGTTGGAAGAAGAAGACTGGTAATTTTTATTTTGTTCAATCAGGTAGCTAGCTATAAGCCGGATCAAACATTTGAAAAGTGGTTTCAATCATCCACTGACTCAAATTTATCACGGCTAAAATGTAAAATAACTGTTTTAAAACGCTGTTAGGTAGAAATATATTTTGAAGAGGATGCATTTAGCTTTTCTTAGATTATTTCGGTGTTTAAATTATTTCTTCAAAAATATATTGAAAATTTAAAAAAAAATTATAAAAGAACATAACTTCTGACTGAAAAATTTCAACTAACAGAGAACCTATTGACTCATACTATGAATACGTTAGCATGTAAAAAATAATTATAACAAAATTTTAAACAATGCATCATAGCAATTGTTTCAAACGGATTTACGGCATCATTTAAAGTGGGAAAAATGAAAAAAGTATCATCTATAAAGAATATAAGTTTGGAAAACAAAACGTGATTTGTCGAAAAGAAAATGTTTCGCTGTACGTCAAATATGTCGTTAAAAGTCGAACGCTCGTTAGTGATGTTTACCGTATATTACTGGTGAAAAATGTTATGCTATCATTTTTGTGTTGTTACTCTGAAAATTTAGAAAATTTGTTTGATAGAAACGTTTTATTACATTTGATGATTATTTGTTAATAATAACGTGGTATTTAATGAAGTTATTAAGTACCATCCCTAAAATCATACGTTATACGTAAGGAAGAACTTTTAAAGAGCAAACGAAGGAATGAACAAATAAAACATGAATGAAAATTTATGTATTGCAATAAATTATAATTGAACTTGTCATAAATAAAATGCACCTGATCATGATGATATGTATGATCAGTCGATTACTTCACAAAATGTTCTCATTAAATTATCGTTATCAGTTAGTCCAAAACATGCAGCCGACCAAATTACTTTAATATCGATAACTTCAATGAATATTTGTAAAAAAAAATTGTTATTGGAAATGTTCACGTCAACTGGTTTTGTGCGGATTTCAGGCATTCAGCTTCTGAAAAAAAGAATTTATTCCAAATTAATTTACACGTTGTGAAAGTTGTAAGAAAAACTTTAAAAATTTAATGCCAGTTTGAAAACTGTAAGGTTAAAAATGAATAGAAAACAAAAGTTGTACACACCTGGAAATATTCTTTCCGATCAGCGCTAGAAATTTGTAAGCTTCCTAAGCCATTACTCATCAAGTAGCATGAACTAGCCATCCGACTTACCAAAGTTTTGACGCAGTTTGTCGTCAGATGGCAGATATAGACACACTTTACTGAAATCGGAATACATCCGGTTTGAGATAGACTCATGTTCACTGACGTTTTGTTGTAAATTATGCTATTTGTGTTTTTAAATGGGTGTGTACTTATTAAATTTATGTTTGGTATTGCGCTAGTTGGTGCCATTTTCAGGGTGAATGTTGATGGAGATGAACTTGGCAACACATAAACAAACTCCAGGTTGTTTATAAATGTTAGCAAAATGATTATAAAATTAAAAAAATTAGCCTGCATTACGGTTGGATTAAAAACAGCCATTAAACTTTAAGATTAAGGCTGTTGAAACTTATAATGTAAGTAAATTTTATGTTTTGATTGTCAGTTGATCAAACAGTGAGTGTGACGGAAAATTTTTGTGGCAATGCCTGTGTAAACGACAGTTATATATTTGTATATATATATACATATATATATATATATATATTTATAAACGTTGTCAGCTTCGAATATGTCACAATTTCACAATAAATATGAATGTCAAAAACTACGCTGTGTTGAGTCCATAATAAAAAAGTTGATAAATGCAAAATGGGCAAATAAATTTAACAAAATAGATATATATATATACATATCACATATATATTTATATATATATTCATATGTTCATAGAAAAATAAATAATAAAATAATATGCCATACACAACACACACACACACACACACACACACACATGCAAACGTGTGTGTTGTGTATCATACATAACATGTTAGCGGACAATCTTACAGTGTCATATGACAAATTTTTGGCTTGTGCAAAATTCTCATTAATTCAGTGTTTACTCATCTGAGTAGAGCTGCTCTAGAAATTATTTTCTTACAAAAGCAACACATGAAAATTTTTGTGCACTTAAACCTGGACTTTTCATGCCACGTGAATTTGTGGCGAAAACTTTTGGAAAAATAATAATGACAAATGCATTTTCAAACTTGTTCAGTTTTCTAAACATGAAATGACATGTTGGAATGGTGCACTCGTAGAATACAAAAAGACAGCGTTGTTAAAAGTCGCAAACGTTGAGTATTTGAATACTTAGTAAATACTTAAACATTACATGACAGTAAGATCCATAAGGGTTTACTTTATTAAAAAACCAGACATTATACTAAAATTCACCAGAAATATTTGTTAGCTTAAACAGATCATAAGACAAACGATGAATGAATTATTGGCAAATTAATGAGTCATGGAATGAGACTGCCTGTAAACTCGAATTCAACTTACTACTTCTAAAGAACTGAACAAATGAATCAATTGGTCAACACTCGGGCATGTTTTCGCATATTTGTTATGGTCGTAAAAACTTTATTTTTTCGTGCATTATATCCAACATATGAGTTTCCGTACTGCAAAGTTCTGATACATCTTAATGTAGTTAGTTGTTGACACTCGAAGGATGTCTTGTATATTAGACATTTGAATGTTCTTGTTAGTTACATTAATAAATTTTTACAGAGATGCAATATATTGATATTATTGGTATCAATAAATCAACATGCATATCTTTATTTCTTGCCTATTTTTACGTATTTGCTTTGCTAGCAGAGTTGCTAACGCTACTCCTAAAAAGGAACGCCGCTATGAAAACAAATATCTATCTACCTGTCCAATAACGGTTTGTTGAAAATCTTATAGAAATAAAAAGAAAAGAAGAATTATTTGTGTATATGAGAATGCAATACATATATCCACATTTAACACGTATTTTACGACCATGACATTATTGGACTTAGTACAAACTGAACAAAATCTACGCCAAATCTTGCGTTATAATCTTTTAATAGTCAAAAATACAAACAAGTAAATTATATTAGTTATAATGCATGCATTAGAATACACATATAAAAATACAGTCAGGCAAAACAAATTAGAACATTGCATTTATAAAATATGAATAGTATGTTCTTTTATAAAATGCAATAACATATTAGGTTTTCACATGTTGACTGTAGTTATAACTACATTAGAACATCCATGACTGCCTAACAATACTACCATCTGGTCGATTTCGACCTCTGCCTGGTTCTACTTTTTCTATTAAAATGGGCTACAGCCTTCATCGCCCTCCTCCATAGTCATAGAGTCATCATGACCTGACGTCGAAACCATCTCTCACTTTCGGCTTCTTCTCTTTCCAGCATGGCTTCACGTTCCTCTTCCGCGAGTTCGCGTTTGTAATTTTCTGCCGTCATTTTGATCTGCTTGCGATAAGTTTGTGTAAGTACTGACTGAGATATGTAGAAGCAGTTGAGCATTTCGTTAACGTATGTGTTTATATAGCATGCCCATCATCAGACTCTGCCTTAATCACTCGCAAATATCTTTGCTCACCTTGTTTAATTGTTTGTTATTTTACTGCTCAAACTTATCTTTATTCGAAGCTTAATTAATAAATACCGCAGTTGTAAATGAATTATTAAAAATGAAATCATCAAAGTGCATTAACAAAGATTGATCTTTTTATCTTTCAATATCACCAATTTGATTTTAGTTGTACGTGCGAGCTGTACGGGCAATGAGAGTTTCTTGCTTTCTCTATGGTAATTGGTTCTGGGAACCCTCAAATCTTTCTGTCGTGTTTCCGTTTTTAAATAAACAAAATGATCCACACGACAATTACAGAAATATCAAAAAAATGTATAAAAATATAGAAATATATAAAAAAAACGTCTGTCAAGCAATTTTTTCAACTCATAAATTACCACTGCCAGCGCATGTTTCAGACTTCATTCGCAAGATTTACAATTTAATAATAAATTTAAAATTCCAGTAAAAGCCGCACAGCAAGAAAAACGCAGGTACTCAATTTCAGTGTTGTTCATAGAAATGAAATAATCTTTAAACAATTATCTATCCCGGATATATTATACCTAATAGCTATACAATAATAACTATAATTATCTCTGCCAAATATATCATATAATCTGAACTCATTAAAGAGAAACATTTTGAATGGATTCCCGAAATAAAAACTTCACATTTTTCAAAGAAATGTTTAAATTTGATTATTAAAGATTTTGATTTCATAATCAACTTTTGCCTCACAATTTTATTTATTTTAACAAATTTAATTTAATTTAAAATAAACAGAAAAATGCGTCCACTTAGCATCAAATGTAGTTTTCACCAAAGAACCAATATTAATATGAATCATTTATACACGAAGCAATAGTTTGGGACAGACTTGAAAATGAATGATATTCAGAAAAATGTGAATCATCACATAACGAAATCGGATGACTGACATTAAACTTTGTCACCTATACTATTGAACTTTAAAATTAGCGAGCATTTTAAAGAGTTTAAAAGCATTGTAACCACATCTGCGTGCTGAACAAGTTGTAGGTAGAAGTACTTCCTGGGATCGGGTAGTAAGTGAGAAAATATGGGAAGTAGGTGTTGAAATTTGTGGCACTGCATTTTCCAAGGTCCCCAATGTAGTTGGCATACCACCAGCCTATGGAGTTTTTAAAAAATAGAAAAATTTAAACACTTATTTGAACGTAACAATGCCAATTGCAAACATAAATGAACAAAAAAACCTTTTTAAAGAAAATTTTGTGATCAGATAAAAGTGCAAATGGCCGATTAATTATATTAAAGTTTTAAATTATTGATTTGTACATTCATTACAATTTGAATTAAACTGCATTTTATACAATTTTGGAAAAATATTATATAAAATTTAGGCTAAGAACATTTTTAGAACGATTGAAAAAAAAATTATGATATTATATATAAATTAAAAAAAAAATTTATGATATTATATATACATCTTTAATTTATGTTTCAATTCAGTTTTCAAGGAACCTGCATTGTAGGCCAAAGCGCAGTTAACATTGACATCGCTATCGTTATCAACATCATAGGTGGAGAACGGGGAGCCCTGTTTGACTGACATCCCATTGGCTGTTGTGCAGTTGCCAGCAGAGTGGGTTATCATACTCAACTTGTAATCGTTCCTTTCGTCAGCCACTTTGAATGGTTGAAAATAAGAATATTGAAATTCCGGCTTTCCAGCTGCAATACGATGAATATCTTTTGCTATTAAAAATAATATTCGTTTAAAAGTTGATTAACTTATTTTGACTATTTTGACTTATTTTGATGTTTTTCTCATTTAATTTGGTCATAATGTTTCAATGTCTAACAAAAATTATTTTGTCTTTTTCAAGTGGCACCATGATTACGCAATGGAACACATTTTTAACTAGCTACGTTATTCAGTTCTAATTGAAAATTTTAGCCGTGGCTTTTTAGGAATGAAACTATTAAATCGTCGGCTTTGTGTTATTTAAAGTTTTGAACGCAACAAAGACTGCATTCAATGATTTGTGTAATATAAAGTATCATATTACATAAACCAGGAACACGAATAATACGAAATGAAGAAACTTACAATTGTTCGCATTGAGAAATACATGAAGATCACATGTGTAACTGTTTGTCAGCTTGTTCAGTAACTCATTACCCAGCCAATATGCATTCCACGACTTTCCAGCACAACACCCAACATTGGAAGCTGCAAAGGTTGATGATTTGGCACTTATTGGAGCCGACAAATCCGAGACAGAAAAACCGACTTTGAATTCAGTCCAGCTTTTATTGAAGGACCTGGATGCCGGACTGCCTTTTAGCTGAACTAGGAATGTTTTACTCGTTGATGGCAGAAATTCTGAACAATTTAAAAAAATTAACTACCAACAATATTTTGGAAATAATTAGCCATTTATGCAGTTTTTGAATTGGTTATTGTATTGTGAGATTAAAAAAAAATCTATATTAGATATTTATACTTGCTCCAAAAAGCAACTGTTGATATGGGTAAGTTGGTAAAAACACAAGATCAGTTGTGTCGACAGGCTTCAGCTGTGGAAATGGTAAAAACAGAAACTTAATTATTTGAAGAAAAACATTTCTGTGCAAAATATAACATAATTTATAAAAATAAATATCGTGAATATTTTATTAAAAAAGTTACAAACAAAATAAAAAGTTATAAACGTTTGGTTTCAAGAAAAAAATATTTGTACCGCATGATACGTGCATCCACACTGTCTGGTGAAATAAATCGGCTTATACCGAAACAACTCGCACGTTTTTGAATCGAATCTCAAATTGAATCCTTGACAAACAGGTTGACTCGACTGTCTGTACCGACACAGAGAGGTACATATCGTCAGAGCAGTGGTCATGTTATCGTCCAGTCGACCATTCAGCAGGACATTGTTATAATCAATAAAATCAGTGAGATTAATTTTTTCAGCTGTGTTCTCAATGCAGCAAGCGCCATCAACATTGATTTGCAGTTTTTGGTAGCAAGTTGTCCAGTTGGAAAAATTCAAAATTTGTGTCAAAAGGAATGACGACGGTGAAAATGATTGGGCCATCATGTCAAGAAAAAAACACTGGCCGAGAAATATAATGATGAACTTGAAGAAATTCATAGTTTGCCTAACTAATTTCAATTTAATTACAAATGAATATAACTTGGATAGACACACAATATTGAGTAATGTCTATTATTTGACGATGAAACAACAGGGAATGTAGCAAAAGATAAAATATGTTTGTTTATTATGTTTAGGCACACATGGAAACATATACATTTGCAATTAAATATGTACTTACATATCCATTTATTCATCAACAAAGTCTTTGCATTAGAACATTGGGACAATGCATTAGAATCGTAGAATCTTTCTCTATTCTTGTACGCTTTTAATGATCGAGCAAAAAAAACATATTAGGACAAAAGAAATTTGATGCAAGACAATTTTTTCAACATGCGAACACACTCATGCAATGTTTTTTTTTTTCATTTTCATCTAATATGCAACATTTAAGAGTTCTTCATGTATTTAGCTGAGTTTCTGAGAACCCACTATATACATTTGTCTACTGTATCATCGTTTAAGTATGTACGGTACGTTCTTCTAATCCCAACTACATAGAGTTATAGAATTTTATTTTCGAAATAGCAGAATTTCGCCTCAACAAGAATTTATATTCACAAAGAAGTAATAAGGATGGCAACACTAACAATGAATTTTGGTTACAAAATACGCATAAAAATCTATAAGCGCCTTTAAAAAGTATAGTAACACGATCAATATAACATTTCTTACATTATATTTTAGATATCGATATAAAACAATGACATTCTCTTGTGCGCGGTTTGTCGATGTAATTTATAATTTAAGGAATTATTTAGCTTGTAACAGAACTATTTTTCACAAATAAGTGCTTCATGCATACACACACACACACACACACACTCTCTCTCTCTCTCTTTTTCACACACACACACATTTATATATATATAAACAATCAAACAAACACATATATTCACACACACACACTTAATAATTAACACAAATGACTACAGCATAAGTTAGTGGTGGTATTGAAGACCACGGAAATACAAACCCATTACCTACCAGCATCTTATAAAATAGAATTTTTCAAACATTCTCCTACTCTTAAGACTTCCCGATCCAACACTGCCCACAGTCGGTCTTAAAAATTAAAACCTCATGCTAAAAAAACATGGATAAAATTGACTATTTATTATTATATTTTAATTAGTAGTAAAATCATTAGCGGATCGTTATTATTATCAGTAGGATATTTAATTAACGTTGACATTATCGAAAAACCACCTCGGACCAAACAGTTTCCATAAGAAAGGGTTGTAGCTCAGAAACAAACGAGGAGACATCAGCTCAATTTTCAATTGGCCAGAGCCCCATCTTCTCTTTGACGCACATCAGTGGACATATGATAACCTGTGGGCACGCACAGCAGATGAACCCAGAAAGTTTGGTGAATTTTGAGATGTTTTTCAGTGAAAATGAGAATTTAAGTAGTAAATTCTTGCAGAATTTGATTCAGCCAACTTGTGATTTGACAGAAATAAATGCGGAAAATGTTTTTGAGGTGAATGAATATTCTTATGATGAGAAATACGATGATCATTCTAATGAAGATGAATATTCTGACGAGTATTATTAAATTGTGAAATTGTATGACTCGAAAAGGAACACAACAAATTTTTTAAAATTTGTTATTAACGTTTTTTGAAATAAACTATTCAGGTTATAAACTATTTACCATTTATCAATGAAAGTTATGCATTACTTGAAAAAGTTATTGATCATTTTGAACTATTAAGCGGTTATTATTGCAGAATAATAAACTTTTTCTATGTTTGAGTGCTTGATATGATTTTAAAATATATCAAAGTACTTAAATAAATGGAAATTAGCCCAAATGGTCATTAAATCAAGCATTTTAAAAATCAAATTTTCCGAGAAAATTAAGTGTAACATTTATGTCAAATGGAGTGGAGAATTTGTGGCGAGGCGCCAAACAAAAATTTAATTATTAGACGATACTTCTGTTTTGTTATTTATATGAAAATATAATGTCCAAATTAAATTACAAATAGTTCTCATGTTTATAACATATTTTAAAAATAATAAATAAATAATGATATTAGAATTTTATTAAAAATTACAAATATAAATAAATGAAACGATTCGGTTAAAATAATCACAAATTGAAAAAAAATAAAGCGCTTCGGCTGGTCATGAATATTAATGACAGGCGGAGCCAAATTTAATGTTTTCAATATTATTCTATGTAAACAACAGGAAGCGTGGTTTCATACTTATTTACCTTGAATTGCTTGGTGTTCTAAATATACAAGCAAATCAATGCTTGTAAAATAATTGTCAAAATATAGCTTGTGTCCAACAGGTGGAATAGCCCGGTAATCTCGGAGACGGCAAAGTGGTTTTTCCAGCAATATTTATTTATAGTCAACAGTTTAAAGAGACTCATAAGTTCCTCCCACGGTACAACTAAAAGTTAAACTAAATAATAAAAGCTTATAATAAAAGTTAAAAATAAAAATTTTAAACCAATTTTTACTAGAAAAACCACAAAACCTTTATAAAGTTATAAAAATATAATACATTACAAAATGTGTAACAAAATTTTAAACGTATCTGTTAAAAAGATAGTTTCACTTTTAAAACAAATTATTAATTTTTAGAAACTTGCTTCCAGAGGTAACTTGCCGTTGAAAAAAATTTTCAATGTTAAAACGCTGGTAGGGCGCTTCCAGTTATATAATTCCATGATTTTTACTTCATAATCGGCGGACAGATCCATTTAGTTTTAGAAATTGAACTATAACATTAAAAATTATTAATTATTCTTTTCTTCGTTAAACGTTTTTCATTCATGTTTTTCAATTTTAAAGTCATTAACATTTAAAAATTAAAATTCTTCAAAAAACCGCTTATTTTTTAAAATTTTTACATATATATATATATATATATATATATATATATATATAACGCTTGTATTAAAAGAAGAATGCAAGCTTTTGAAATGCATAATGAGAACTATTTTTATTTCGTTGTTGTTGTAATTATTATTATATTGTTGTTCGTTGATGATGGTTGTGATGATGATGATCGTCATCATAGTTAACAAGATTAACAGTATAACATACTTAAAATACATTGACAGAAATGACATGGATGTTTATTGTACTGCGTATATATGATGGCAGTATGTATGTATGCGTGTATGTATGTGTATGTATGTGTGTCTGTGTCTCTTTATGTGTACATGTTTGTATTCGAGATTTTAGTAAGAAAAGAAAAACACAACAGTTGCTTTTATTTGACATCATCAAAAGATGAAAAGTGACGAAATTAAAATTTGTTAAACGTCAATTTTTTAAAAAGTTCAGATTTTAAACAAACAAATATAACAAAATATCGATCGATAAAAAATAATTATCACGAAACATGAATATTTAGTAAAGACAGTTCACAGCATATCATAATGACTAAATCAACATACCAAACAGAAATTATTCATGCATGCATATATACAAAGTAAATCANGAAATATCCAAAAATTATATAACCAAAATAAGAAACTAGAAACCAGTCAACATTTTACAAATAAATAAATAGATATTATTAAAAAGATTGTTCAAAAATGGTAAAATTTAAGGCGACGACAAAAAAAATTGTAGTTTGTTTTGTTGGTGTTGTGTGGTGCTAAGAAGCGAAAACAAACACTCCACAAAAAAAAAAATATTAAAAAGTCGCAAGAATAGTAGTCAGTCACCTACCTACAATTAAATTACTCTCAGGGCCCTAGCTTACCTGTAATGATAACTCAACTCATTTATTTTACATATTTTAACGTTTTAATTTTACTTGAAGCTTTTAATTTATGTTAATGTTAATATTTTACTTGAAACTTTTTAACTAATGTTAAGCCCTAGCCTACCTACAGTTGTTCAACTCATCTCAATCCCTAACTTACCTATGAATTAAATTAAGTCCGGTAAAGAAAATAGAAAGTTGAAGAGAAAAATAACAACGACACCGAATGAATGGATGTTGTGTATGTGTGTGTTGTATTTATGTGTGTGCGTGTAAATGTGCGCGCGCGTACCCTCCAAAAACTTCTTCACCCACTACGGACGAACCTCCATTGCACCGACCATCATCTGACACGCACCGAGGAAATGAATTTTACCGGATACTGGAAAACAAAATTGAAAGAAAAAGTTAATTTTTTAAAATAAAAAATAAGCCATTGAAAAAAAGTAAGAAGCAACTTATCTTACCATGAGATTAACATCATGAAACGTGCTGACTCCCACCACAACCCACTTCTGATCATTCTGTAGACAAATTTTTTTTATTGGCTTAGTAGTAAATGAATGTTAAAACGAAAGAACAAACGAATAGTAGTAAATGAATGTTAAAACGAAAGAACAAACGAATAAATGATTGAGCGAATGATTGAGTGATTGAATGAATTAATTAACCAATCTATGATTCAATGAATGAATAGAATGAGTCAATTAATGGATGAATGAAAGATTGTATGACAAAATGAATGAATGAAAAAAATAAAAACAACGAAACTAAACCATACTTCAAAAATCTTCGTTGTTGTTTTCTTCGAGTTGTTATCGGAACGATCATCATGAGACCACCATCTGAAACGTGCTGACGCCCACCACTGCCCACCTCTCATCAGTCTGTAGACAAGTTATTTTTATTAGCTTAGTAGTAAATGAATGTTAGAATCTTAGAAGCAAAAAATTATAAAATGGAAATAATGGCAAATAAATAATATTTGAAAATAATAAAGAAAGTAAAATGTAAAAAAAACTTACCGTCGTCCATTCGACAAAGGCAAAATGATGAGTGCTTTCCGTTTCCTGCGTTGTCCTCCAAAACTGGTGCCAGTCCTCATCGAGATTGTTGTTGAAACACAGCCCTTGGAATGGAGAAAGAGAAAATTCTCACTAGAAAGCTTAGCGGTGCCTGCATCTTAAATTGCTTAATAAAAATAATCCTATCTACCTATTCAATTACCTTAACTAATCTATAATAAATTGTTAATGGTACGATAGTCGAAAGTTCCCCTTCATTCTCCCTCCTTGCACAGAGGTTCACCGACAGCCAGGGCACCGGATAGTAAACCATTGCCGTGCGGATAGTAGACTACTGCCGTGCGGATAGTAAACCATTTGCCGTCCGGAAGCCGTGCGGGTAGTAGACTATGGCCATGCCGCATAGTAAATCATTACCGTGCAGATAGTAAACCATTGCCGTCCGGATAGTAAACCATTGCCGGTTCACCACTGGCCGCCAAGGCTTACCTCTGACAAGAGACTTCGAAATTCAGAGTCTATCGGCTATCGTACCCTCAACTTACCTATTCATTACAATTAAGCCATAGCTTACCTAAAATTACAAAACTCAAGAGCCCAATTCATTGGCCTTTCGGCACCCACCCCACCACCTACGTAATGCCTTGGGCTCCAACTTAGTAATAATAATATAAAACTTAAACCCTAAATCTATTAATGAGTATGTGTTACAACGTAGCCTTAACCTACCTATTCATTACATTACGGTCCTAGCTTACCTAAAATTACAAAACTCAAGAGCCCAATTCATTGGCCTTTCGGCACCCACCCCACCACCTACGTAATGCCTTGGGCTCCAACTTAATAATGATAATGTAAAACTTAACAATTAACCTACCTATCGATACACTTACAGCGTTTTAATTTACATTACAAGATTTTTCCTAGAATTACATTATTGCTCTTAACTACCTATGAAATTAAATTACTCTCAACCTTAGTAATAATAAATTAGAATGTGTAATGAAAATAAAATTACGCTCAAATACTAACATATGTGTTTATGTATGTATTTGTGT